TTCTGGATTCCAAGTTTTCCATCACGGATTCTTGCAGAAGATGGATGTGTTCCGTACACGATGTCCCATTTCTTGTTTTGTTCGTGCATGCGCGGAGTGGAAGAACTCATCCTCAATTCCACTCAGTAATAAAGTTACAGTGCCGCGCTTTTTTATACGGTGCAGCGATTATTGACATCAAAATATGAATAAAGAGAAAAATAAAACCAATTCCACAACAATTCTATCTCTAGCTGCAACGCCAACGTCCACGAAAGGAAATTCTTGCCTTAACATTATCCAACGGATATTTTCGGGGTACAGGGAGCCCGAAAGACTTAGAGAAGTACCTTGCAGTGCCTGGGGTTGTCAGGGCCAATGCGGAAGAAATGAGGTGGAAGTCGGAAGAAAACGGGGCGATGTGGTGGTTTCAGTTGACAATTTGATGCGGCAAGGTTTGATCGTCGATCTCTTTTCAATGCTCGGCTCGTCTGTCTGCCTTGGCCCCATTTTTCCATTAGTCTTAATCTTGAGAAAGACGCAGGCGACCAAAGCCCAGCGCTTGCTAGTGGGATCTCGGCACTTTGCGCGACTCCGCGTACTTCGTCAGCTTTTTCTGGCGATATATGACGTCATAAAAATGTCCGACCCGACCGCCCATTCACGCGTCCTCGCCAAAGTTCTCTGCGACATATTCCTTTGACCTTGCCACACACAAGACGTGTTTGCGGCAAAAAATATGCCAATAGCTCCGTGGCAGCTAGCTTTGGTCTGCCGGCACTGACGCGAATGCACGTTCGAATATGCGGCGTTGGGGACCTTCATCAGCATCGATGGCACCGTCGTCGACACACCAAGCTCCTCATCCACCTTGAACTCGGAGTACTACCCTTTTGGCCGCGCTGGAAACCCAAATCGCGCGCACCGGTGACGCTGCGCTGAAGGTTTCGCTACATTGGCCTGTATATACCGCCGACGCCAGCCATTTGGACACCCTCCTGGAGCCTGTGGTATAGGAAAGCGATCGCTGGATTACTGTACGGCGAGAATTGAGGGAGACAACGTCGAAGATAAATGGTTCCGCTCCCTGGCGCCGATCCGAGGGAGGATTAACCATCTGGAGAGGCTGGAGTTCATCACAACGCGTTCCGATAAATGCTATCCACCGGCTTGCGAGAAATGGTGCTTACGGATGACAATTATCACTGTATCTTTCCCCGTTGTCGCCCCTTGGCCACAAATAACACGGCTACGCGCGACGTGGAAGATAGCGCGCTGATCGTCGTGATCATTGTGCCGTCAAGCTCGTTCCGTGTCTGTAGAAAGACTGGCAAGTGCATCGTTTCCGTGTCGAATTCAGTCACTCTGAGTCGTTGTTTTTTTCTAAATACAAAGGAAAGGCCGAGCACCTTGCCATCGACTCGAATGCTACTGACACCTTACGCATCCCTCGTTCACATTTACAGATCTAGGCCTGCCGAGGACCTCTGAGTCTCGGTCTCTTAGTTTCTCTTAATACACAAACACTGACATTGACAAACCGGCCCGGGCGAGACAACCAACCGTCCATCAATATTGTCAGTCGTAGTGAATGCATCAGACTTCTGACATTTAGCTTGTGTCCTTGCACAAGGCCAAACTTCAAACAAGCCCGGAAAAGGCCGGATAGGCCGCAAGATCTCAAGGTCACAACCCAAGTCCGGAAAATTCACAAGCTCTTCCGCAGTTTACTGGTGGGACTTTTGAGATACTGTCCGGGGATGTTCAATTTAATTCAATTCAATCCATCCAACCATTCATCATCATTGTCAGTTGTACAATGAATGTATCAGACTTTTGACATTTAGCTTGTGACCTTGCACAAGGCGAAACCTGAAACAAGCCCGGAAAGCAACCGGAAAGAATGGGAATGGGACGTATTTGTTGGCTAACTTCGCTTAGCTCGCGTAAACCCCTCGACAATGGGACTGGTCCCGAGAATGGACATTCAACTTTAAACGCCAGAGAAAAGCACGCAGCAGTCAGTCCGAGATGGGAACTTCATGGGAAAAATCTCACACTAAAGCTGTATAGTCTCGAGGCCAAGAGCAGAGAGAGCAAAATGCGATTGACTTGAAAGAGATAGGAGCCTATACTTACATGGCAATAAATTGGGCAGAGAATTTCAAGAGAACTGATACCGAGGAACGGCTTGAATCGAACGCGCCTCTATGTGGAAATAAAGCAGGTAAGGCCGGCGAGCGGAACAGTCCGTGACCGGGATTGATTTTTCAACTCTCAGCACCGCCCAATGTTCGTGTAGGTGTCGGGTTATTTGTGCCAAGTATCAGAAGTTACATTCTGTCGAAACATTTAAATTCAAGATGATATAAGGATATGAATTCGGTTGAACATAACATCGTGAATTCTCGCGGGAAATCAAGCAAACCTAGACTGAATTCACCCGCGCGGTCGGTCACAAACAAGTCCGCACATCACTCTTTAATCTTGACAACGACACCACATGGACGGCGGAATTCTGTATGGCCATTCAATCCTGGGGCAAGGGCGGCGCCCGTGAAAGGAATCACACTGGCCCCCAAAATGGTTTCTGTGGACAACTTAAGGACATATGAAAACGCGGGACGGGAGAAGACTCCACTGGGAGAAATGGGGTAAGAAGAGAACCCCAATGTCGGCATTGCAGTTGCGCGACTCGATCAGCGGGATTTGATATGACATATAGAGATTCGGGAGAAGGAATCAGGATTTAGACAGAGTGGGGCGTCACGCGTGGCGGTTCAATGTAGTCTCTCGTAATTTCATTCAAATTTGCCAGTGTTGACTAATCCAACACGTTCCTTCCTTCCTTCCTTCCTTCCTTCCGGTGAGATCAGGCAAACTATTCCAGGGCCGTATTCCCTATATACTTATAATCACTGCCACCCCGAGCTATAAAAGCCTAACCTCTGCCATACATCAGAACATCGCAAAACAATACCCACAATGCACTTCTCCACCCTGGCTTTTCTCGCCGGTCTATTTGTCGCGTCCACCAATGCCGTCGTCACCCCCGTTCCCGAAATTTGCTGCATCTCAGGCGGCGGCCCCGATCCCTGCGGCTCAGTCGTTGGCAAACCACTTCTCATGAACCCAGTGCCCCTCGCCTCTCTGCCGCCTACCAGCATTTGCTGCTGCTCTGCGGCCAATGATCTCAACTGCCGTAACATTTGTGGTTGTAAGTACTCGCTTGCCTGGGCTTGGCTTGGATTTGGGCTCACTGCAGTCGCAGAAATGATAGTGAATCGCAGGTCACTGCAGCGCTCGTGGTATTATGTGCCAGTGCGAAGAATGGAAGCCAGTGAATGCCCGAGTATTGGAAGAGTTACAGGGGTGAAGTTCGGAACGTGATAGGATCTAGGAAACACTTTGTGAATTATTCTGTACTAAATCATACATGGACGGTGGCCTAGTGGGAATTCCACGCGCGCACAGCTCTGCGGTGCGCTCTAAATAGCCCTCCAACACATCTGAACTATCAAAGGAAAATTCCTCCGCAATGCGCATGAATCAGATTCAACTCCTACATGACTTGGCCGCGGCTCTGGGTATAAAAATAATTTGTCTGAAAACCAAACATACTATGCAGAGTTTTTACTGTGATACTTAATCCTCAGACACAGTATTGGACATTCAACATATGTAGCCGAAAAGTTGACAAACCAAACACCCACATCATTGACACCCATCCGCCATGATTGCTATAGTGCCTCTGTGGACAGAATGAGTAGCAAAAAGTTGGAGCGTCATTCCTGCAAAATAATAGAATCTTTTGACTTGATACAATTGCGTGCCATGCAGGAGAGGGCGGCGCTTCGGAATTGATTTTTCATTCGATCTGATTACCAAATTGGCACACATCTTGGTTCGATGAGCGGGTCAGATTGGGTTAGAGTTGCTCAGAATCCATGTCCGTCATCGCTGGATCACAAGGTTCGAGCTTTGAGGAGAAAGAATACATATCGGGCAACGTATCAGCATTCGGGACAGTTCCCCGAGATGGTGGCACTAGCTGAATTGTCGAATCTAAATGTCAAATTTAAGCCAAATTCCAGCCCGACCATCCCACCTACCGTAGATTTAGGAAGTGTTTCGAAAGTGCTTCACGATTTATTAAAGCACGGGAGATTCACCTGATTCGTGAAGTGATTCTCCCATACTTCAATAAACTGCCAAGCACTTCTGAGAATCACATCTGAGTATACCAATTCCCCCCACCTGAAGTTTATCCGGAATGCCAAAGTTTCTGATTGCGATTCCGGTGAGCTGAGATATGAAGACAAAACTTGGAGTTTCACTTACACCGAAATCAGAGAAAATTTCGCTTACTTTTCGCATGCAAGTAATGTTGCCCACGACTCAAGTCGGCCAATTCAATTTATCGCAAATAACATCTGACTAAAGAGTATAACTCCAATGAATATATATGAAGTATGTATGGTCATAATGGGTGTATAACATATACTAAGGGTTCCTGCCGATACTGCACCGTTCGTGAGAAATATTGGATTTATTGATCGACTCGAGTCGAGTCGAGTCGAGGTAAACAATGATTTGGGAATTTCTCCACAACCAAACATCCAATCGCCAAGGGGTTTGGATATATTATGGACCTATATGAGCCCTCTTTATTGGCTATGAGATATTTACCTTTCGGGGGTAAACAATGTGGCTATACGCAAAGTTTGATTTGATCGACTTGAGTCGCGGGCAACATTACATGCAAGGCTGATGCAAAATCAGTGGAAGACTGTTGGCCGGACAGAAAACACGAAGAAAAGAATCTCGTCGACAAAACTTGATCTGAAGCTTGTCTGAATATACGAGTCCCAGGTTTATGAGACTGAATCATGGTTGAGTCCGAGAGCTACTTATGTCTCAGAGGTGGGGAGTTGGCTCGAACTCAACTCAAAAGTTTCCATCGACTTTGGACTTTGACCACATTAAGAGATGATATACTACTCAAACGAAACATTTTTATCTCCGAATTGGTGTAGGGGTCAACATTGCCGCTTCTCATTTTCGCGTTGGCAACTCTCGTCTTACGTAATCTGTGCGCGGCAGCCCGGGGTTCGATTCCCCGATTCGGAATGTTTTATTTCTGTTTGAATTCTTTTTTGGTCGTAGTAGCTCATTGCTTCCGTTTTATACTAGTGAGAAAACCACTCGTACCAATTAATCAAAGTCACTGTGCCAGTTTGTTTAGAGGTATTGGATGTTCAGAGCTCCATGCCCGATCCAGCCTACAATATGCGAGTAGGGAATTGCACCATATACGGTACGTGATCAAATACGTGAATACGGAAAGAGATCTGTATACGTACGGGCACGATCCTAAGGCCTCCAGCACCCAACAGTACATTACAGATCACATACCGTATTGGTACAGTACGGGGTACGGCCACGTTCGGGGGACAAATCAGCAGATGTGGTGCTGCGGCATGATTGATATTGCTGAAACTCCCTCCTAACAGATGATCAGAACCGAATCCAAACAGAGATGGTGCCCCCCGGCAAAGTTCAAGTGTGTTTGCCGAAGTATGGCTTGATACGGACTCGTATCCATATACGTACAGGTTCCATGGCATGTGCCAAAAGCTCCCGGTACATGCACCATACGTACAGTGTGATTCCCTACATGCGAGGTACAAGCACCATCTTATTGTTTTTCTTTTTGGAGCATTGGGTCTAACAATACTCAGGCAGCAGAAGCATTCCAAGTTGTCTGCTTGTGTTTCTGGTTGTGAACCAGATGTTGCCGGAGAAGATGTCCAGGAGGAAATCCATTATACATATTAGCCAATGCCATTTCTCACAGTATATGGCTGTATACTCACTAAAACCCCCTTTTCGTAAGTCCACTCATCCAGCAGTGAATCTTCATTTAAAAGCAGACCACTCCAACTGTTCAACACTAATTTTTTTGTTGAACAATAGCGAACCAAATCTGGTCTTATTTGTCAAGATTCAATCTCGAGTCAATGATGTGTTGATGGATCTCAGCCATTGGGTACAAATTGCAAGCTCTGAATGGACTCTACCTGGATGAGTTAAGACTCTGTCCACTCGCAATCTCCAAATTTCATGCCAGGCAACTGATACCAAGATGGCAAACAACCAGCCTTTCTCTGGCAATATTTTGCTGCTTGGAGTATCAAACAGAACAATATTACATCCCAATACCAAGCCCCAGTTCAATTTTGGCCAATCCAAGTATTTCCTGGACCAGAGTTGGCGAGTGAGGTTCCAATCAATTTTTGTTCAGGTGCCCTACATTCTAAGGCAATATGCTCTAGGGTTTCTGGTACATTGCATGTGTGGCAATGTCCAAAAACTTCAGAGTGTTGAATGTGAGTCCAGAAGTCTCCCACTTGGAAAATGTTATTGATACATTTCCAGTAGAACTTGCGTGTTAGGTGCTGGAAGGTATTAGAACGAATACCCTTCCATATCATTTCGTCAGTCAGGGTGATGTTTGAAAATTCCTGAACTGCGCAACAGATTCGTTCGAGGTTAACAAAGGTTGATTTACGGTGAAGGATCGATATCAGGCTATTGATTATCTTCGTAAACAGTCGCTGTGAGCCACCGTATAATGGGATTCCCGGGCAATTGAAAATCAGTATCAATCTCAGCATCAATTTTTGTCAGACTGAGAGTGTACATATTTTGCTGGGTTTGATTCAACTTTCTTGAACTGAATTCTTCCAGAGTGTTTATTTGAGGCTGCGAGAACTGCCTGTAACAACTCGAAGCAAGGGCTCAGCATGTCCATTTCATAACTGGTTTGGTCTTTAACTAGAGCCCGTAGCAAGAAATCAGAGGAGGTGCAAACTAAAAGAGGTTGATTTTTTGGGGAGTGTTGCAAGGTATGTAGAAGGCCCACCTAAAAGAGCACTTGAAAAGGATCATGGAATGCTGGGTTTGTTGAACCTCATTATGTAGGAGAACCTTGCAATCCTCCTGTCAGGATGGTCACGAGTGACAGTCATGACCATTAAATGTATTTTGGTGTTAAATTCACCAGCATGTCAAATATGAGGATGGAAAAATACTGTTATGTTCAACATGAAGTTGGTGTCAAGACAAGCCCTAAGTCGGCTAGACGTTGGGTGACAGGGAATAACCCGGCTGGGAGGATGGTTGAATAACCCGGTTAGAAAGTAGAGCAATATCCCACTAGGAGATAGTGTCGAATAACCTTGTCGTCAGGAGGAGGTAGTCTGCTTATATCAATAGTGGGGGGATCGTAAACAATCTAAAGGCGGTATGGTAACCGCCTAGACACCAGACTCAAGGAGAGGAGAATATACAGTTATTCCAAATAAGTGACCAATTATCCATCCGGCCCTGCCTGACGTCACTGGACAACACGGTCATGTTCCTTTCTTTCAGCCATCACCCTCCCAGGTCAATGAGCAGACTAGCAACCGAAAACTATCCATCACTAACTCGATTCACCTCGAAAAAATCGATTCATTGGCTCCAAGATGGTTAACAAGAACATCTCTGCCTTCCCCATCTCCCCATCCCCCGTTCTTTCCAGATGTCAGCCCCATCGAGCCAGTCTGGTTAGTGCTCAAGACGCACATCTGTTCCCGTCCCATCCAGCCTACAAATTATGTAGAGCAGCAGCAGGCAATATTCGAGGCATGGGATGCAATTCCATCAGCAGACACTGACATTTTGATTGATAGAATGGCGAGAATTGTTGATGCTGTTATTGCGTCCAACGGTGGACATACAAAATACTAGCAATGTAATATACCTCTATCTACCTCTCACTGCAATTTTCATGTGTGTCTTGATCTCTATAAACAGTTAAAGCCACTGGAATTACATGACCGGTCACTTATTTGGAGCAACTGTAGAGCAGGGGATAAGACAGGGTATTTGTGAGAAGACACTGCATCGTTGTCAGGCCAAGGTAGACTTGATATTAGACGAGGTAGAATCTACAGTACATGAGATTTTACAGAGTTTATATACTATGTCTCCCTAGGAGTTGATTGATCGGAGTTGTAACACATAGGGTGTGTTTGAATGTTCGGGGTTATCGATCAGGACCCAGGGGTGGATCCCTATGTGTTCGTGATGAGGGGTTTTATCCCTATGCGTTGTCCAACAATTGGAAACACGGATTATTGAATAACCCAATTGGTGTTGTTGAAGTAATCTGCCTTTGGTTGTAACTCGTGTGTGGAAGTGGTGAAATAATCTGGTGGGATGTAGGTTGGGTTTATGGAATACCCGTTGGGTTTGGAATAAATCGCTGTGAAAAGTTGAAAAGGGTTGTAAAATGCCAAATCATGACAGTTGGGATCAAAAAATTTGCACCTTTTTTTGCACCATCTTATTGTAGTATCTGTCTATGAGACTAGATCCAGCCATATCCCAGTGATGTCCCTTCTTGGTTCGCAATTTTAATATTTACGGTAATGGAGATTCTTCATGTTTGGTAAACTTAACCCCTGCACTAATGCGGATTCAGGTTTGTACATTTATTTTGACCACACCAGTTCGGATTTCTGCTTGACCACAAAAAAATGCTTGAGTTAAGACAAGTTTTACTTTCAAATCCAGTCTGGTTCCCCAATGCCAATTGATTTTTGTCTTCAAAATTATGCGCTTTTACCATGCAGATTTTGCTTGGCCACTACACCAATTCGGATTTTTTTTTTTGGATTCGGCACCAGAACATTACAGCCGATGTCAGTACCTAGGGCGTGGATCGAAAATTTTCTGTTTTGGGATGTTTCCAAAGAATTCCCTATATCTCTGTCAGTTCTTCACCGATTCACATAAAAACTAAATAGATCTACTCAGCTAATTCATGCACAATTAGTGATAGAGAGAAATATGTGAAAATACTATGCATTAGATAATTTCTGTTTTGGGGCTGTTTTTGCACTGAATACCGTCTAGCATGGCCAGAACATGTCCCAGTGACCTAGAATTTTGGGAGAGACAACATGCATACCTGAAAAAACATGTGATAGAGCCAGAAGTGAGGATAATTTAGTTGCAGTCCTTCTAGCTCCAGTGAAAACATTTGGCAGTTTTTGGCTTTCAGGGATATTGCCAAGATCGCATTCATCTGGACATTTCATATAGTTCTGGCTCTATCACTTGTTTTATAACATATACACATTGTCCCTCCCAGAATTCTAGGTCACTGGGAAATGTTCTCACCATGCTAGACGGTATTCAGTGCAAAAATAGCCCCAAAACAGAAATTACCTAATACGTAATATTTTCGCAAGTTCCTCTCTATCACTAATTGTGCATGAATTAGCTGAGTAGATCTATTTAGTTTTTATGTGAATCGGTGAAGAACTGACAGAGATATAGGGAATTCTTTGGAAACATCCCAAAACAGAAATTTTCGATCCGCGCCCTCGGTACTGACATCGGCTGTAAATGACGGGTTAGGACTTACAACCTACGCTAAATAATTCCTGCCTCGCCTTTCTTATTCAACTGGACTGCACACCATTCCTGACTGAATTGGTGATTCTCAAGTTTGATCCATACACCAGTTCGGATTATTCGAAGACCATGGCACCAATCCGGATTTATTTTTTAGCTCGTCAACGAAATTCGAGACTCGTCCCTGGCCGTCAAATCATGAAGCCCAGTGGGGTCCAACCAGAATACCGACCCGGAAAGCTGATTTTGGCGACGGTCGTGTTAATATCGGGTGCACCTTCCGACGTCTTTCTCAGCCTGACATCGTTTGTATTCGGATATATCGGGTCTTTAGCATCATTTCTTCGCCATGGTCAGCTCCCGATTTCAACAGGCCAAAGGGACGTGGATCCACCTTCGCTTTGCATTTCCATATTTCCCTCAAAATCTACACGTCTTACCTTCAAATTTTTTTGCGGTCTCCATGATTCCCCGAACGTATATAGTAACCAGGCATATTCAAGATTCAGGATTCTACCAGCCGCGTATTTTCATTTGAACAAGACCATATTGACGTGTTTCGTATAGCTGAAGTTCGCCGCACCCTCGCTACAATATAATATATGGCAGCGGTTAACTACTGCGGTCGGTTGAATGAAATAAACTCAACCAGTTGAATTGAA